GTTGCTACAATGAAACTCCAGCCCAGCCGGTGTGGTTCAACTGCAGCCCTTTGATGCTCCAGTTGTGAGCTCTATCCCCAGTAGGGGGCGTGCAGGAGGCAGCCAATCGAGGTATCTGTTTCACATCGATGTTTCTATCTCTCCCTTCCCCTCTCTCTAAAAAAATCAATAAAATATATTAAATAAATAAATAAAATGAAACTCAAGCACACATCTACATAAAATGGACTTAGCACTTCAATTAAAGTTTAATTTATTCAGTATACGTTCAACCCTAGGACAAAATGTTACATGTTACATATGTCACAATGGGCTAAGAAATACCTTAAGGTATGTAACAAAACAAGGAGATTGCAGTTCATCTTTTCTGCAAGGAAGTAAGGCATGAGATAATAAAGAAAGGCAAAGATAAAAGTTTTATGTATTTATTACTGCCTTCCAGGCAGAATCTTTAGTTAAAAATGACCTTCAGATTCATCTTAATCATAATGACACCTGTGTGGGGGCCTTTAATATGACCATTTTTAAGGTTATTGTTCATAAATCTGGCCTTTAAAATGTGTTCACACCCTGGCTGGTGTGACTCAGTTGGTTGGGCATCATTCCTTGTACCAGGAGGTTGCTGGTTTGATTCCCGGTCAGGGCACATGCTGGGGTTCCCGGCTTGATCCCCGGTAGGGGGCGTGCAGGAGGCGGCCAATCAATGCTTCTCTCTCACATTAATGTTTCTCTCTCTCCCCCTCCCTCTCCCTTCTTCTCTCTTTAAAGAAACTATTTTTAAAATGAATAACATTTTTAAAAAATGTGTCCACAATCATTTTAAGTGTACACCGATCCTCTGAGTTCAGAGCTGAAGGTATTTGGTTACTTTCCTTCTCGTAGCCTCTCTGCTGGCTGGTCCCTGGAGTGCCTAGTGGCTGGACGCTGATCGACAGTGCTGGCGATGCCGATGTAAACAGCAGGCAAACCTCACCGGCAGCAGGGAATTGGTGATATGTAGATGTAGTTCTTCTACCCAGTTTTTAAATGTAAATACCCTGGGGCTTCTTGTGAAGGACTGACAACCTTGACTTTTACTGTGTGGATTAGAGAGAACATTGCAATTGTGGTCCCCAGTTTTCGATGCCTTCTGAGACAAGAGCGATGACCTAAGACCTTGCTCTAAAGGAAATTGTATCTGGTACAAGTGTGTGAAGCAGTGAGGATCGCAGTGGGCCAGGGGCAGTGGTGAAGGTCATCACGGTCCAGGTGGAAGGGGCTGCATCCTCAAGCCAAGAAGACAGAGAGCTTTCCTGTGGACATTTAAAGAAAGAAACCTTTCGAATCATTTTAAAATAGATCATAAAACACTTGCTATTTTTTAAAATATGATTAATTTTATTCCATAAAATTGAAATATAGAAAGAAAAAAGTAATATTCTTTATTGTCACAATATATACATTATCCAAGCACAACTAGTAAACATTATGATCAGTTTCTTCTCAAGCGATTTGTGGGTGTTGTGTGTTTGTGATTATGTTTTCCAACAGTCCAATAAAATGATCTAAATTGTTTAAATCTTGATTTTTCATCAAATATCTAGTATCTTTCTTACGGTAATGTTTTATATATAATCACCTCTGCCTATTTTTTAAGTGTTAATACTTCCCAAGATTCAGTTTAAAAAAAAAAGAAATTTTTTTTCCTTTATTGATTTTTAGAAAGAGAGGAAGGGAAATGGAGAGAGAGAAACACTGATGGATGAGAGACAACATTGACTGGCTGCCTCCTGCATGCCCCCTACTGGGGATCCGGCCCACAACCTGGGCATGTGCCCTGACTGGGAATTGAACTGGTGACCTCTTGGTGCATGGGTCGATGCTCAAGCACTGAGCCATACTGTCTGGAGCCAAGATTCTATTTTTAACTATTTTTCTACTTGGGAAAGTCTCTCAAATCTTTCATAATTCTATCAGAATAGCTAACACTTGAACACTTTCAAGTTACAAATGTATATCTTATGTTTCAGACTCACATATATGACTATCAACTATTTAGATGCCCATTAATACATTAATTTATTGACAATTAATTAATAAGTTAATACATTAGGATCTTTGTGTGTGTTGGGTAGTATTCTGAGCACTAAGGATTTCACTAGAAAAGTTATATCTGGATACTAGGAAGATGGAGAGAATTCAAGGAGACAAGGGAAAGGCATGAAAAGTTGATATTTTGAAGGTTCTTAAGTGTTAAATGTAGGTATTTGGGCATTTATTCCCAGTATATATTGTGTACCCCAATCAACATAGATTTTGTAGTTAATCAGTTACGTTTATTTTGTTTGGCGTCTGTATCAGTTTTCTCTTGCAGCTTTGACAAATTACTACAGCTGGCTTAAAACAGCTCAGAATTATTACCTGACAGTTCTGCAGATTCTCCACTGGACATGCATCTCACTAAGCTCAGATCAGGGTGTCGATAGGATGGATTTCTTCTTCGCAAGTCCTGAGGAAGAACCCATCTCCCTGCCTTCTCCGCTCTGGAGCTGCCCGCCTCCCCTGGCTCGAGGTGTCAATGAGCCACGTGAGCTCAGCGCCACCCCTCTGGCCGTCTCTTCCACATCGAAACACCTGTGTGGTTATATTGCCCACCCAGATAATCCAGGATCATCCTATTTTAAGGTCAGCTGATTAGCAACATCAATTCGATTTTCTGCCTTAATTTTCCTTTGCCATGCAATTAACATATTTACAAGTTCTGGGGAGAAGAATGTAGACATCTTTGGGGGGCCTCCCTGACCCAGCTTGTGAATTTCACGTAGGAGACTCTGTATCGGCTTTGCCCTTCTTTCTTAATAGCAGAGCTTGATTTTATTCAGTGTGGCAGTTGCTCAGCTAACAGACGCCACCATCCTGGCTTCACTGTAGCACAGAAATGTAATGTGTCACTCTTCTGAAAATGGGTTACAAGGGGAAACTGAATATTTCTTTCAGGGATTTTGCTTTTCTTGTTAGAAATGTCACTATTTTCCCCCATGCCTTAGAGTCTAAAAAATAGATACCTTGTGGCCAAGAATGACGAGTTAATACACCAAGGCTTCTGCATCAAGGAGAAGAAGTAAAAACGTGGAAAGAGCGTGGTCACTGGTGACGTTGTTTTGCTGAGGTACCAAGTCCAGAGCTTGCTTTCTTGTACTTGAGAAAAATATTCATTCCACATGTCAGCTGCTCGAGTCGGGTTTTAGTTACTGGCAGCCACGCGGGGTCTCGCTTTGTGGCCCACGTGAGAGCAGAGCCCTTCTCTATCTCCTTTACCCCTGTTCCTCCTGAGCCCAGGGCAGGGCGGAACGTCTGTCAGAAACCCAGCACATGTTGCTTAAGTTCCTCTTGCGACTCTGATGCTTTCTTTGCATGTGAGACCAAGAGTGTTGGTCCACATCCTGAAGTGAAAGGGACCTCCCGTGCTTAGGGACGCAACAGAAAGCAGAGCGACCGCAGAATGGTAGCAAAAGAGAGAAGGCTGCTGGATGAGCCCCGTGAGACCCAGACAGAAGCTCACTCAGGACCACAGCAGGACACATTGAGAGTTTACTTCCCAACAAACACCATGTGATTTCATCGGTATGTGAAAGCTAATGAGCAAAATAAACAAATACACAAAATAAAAACGGACTTATAGATACAGAGAACAGACTGACGGATGTCAGAGGGGAGGGTTTGGGGGGCTGGTGGGAAAAAGTAAAAGGATTAACCAAAAAAAATAACAAAGAAAAACACACAAGGAAGCCTCATAGACACAGACAAGGGGCTTACCAGAGGGCAAGGGGCATGGAGGGGCCGGCAGAAGAGGGTAGAGGCGGATAGATGGTGATGGAAGGTGACTTGACTTTGGGCATTGAACACACAGTACAGTTCACAGATGACGATGTACTACAGAATTGTCCACTTGAAGCCTATGCAAGTTTATTAGGCAGCGCAACCCCAATAAATCCAATACAAATTTAAAAAAAGAGATATTAAAAGCAGGGCCATGTTTCTCAACTCGAACAGCATTGACCAGAGACGGACAGGCTTTAGGTCAGGTGATCGTATTGGCTTTTGCAGGCTCATTGCGGCGGCTGTGAAGACGGGGTGAGCTTGTCTATGAGGGCAGAAGGGAGCCCGGTGAGGTTGGAAGAGCCTGGAAGTGGAGAGGAACGATGGACTGGGGGAGTCCGCCTTCACACTGGACGTGGGCAGGAGAGAGAAGTGTGCGGCTTAGCTCCGAGGTCCCCGAGCGTGTGTGGGAACGCTGTGCAGTGGTTTCTGGGGCGCTGCTGTCTGGCATTGCTCTGCTGAAGACATATTAATCAGAAATTGTGCTGAATGTTCACCAGGTACCGACTTAGTAACTGTAAAACTAGGACATACGCCTATATTTGAATCCTTCAGAATATTCTAGGATAAGGTCTGATGGGACAAGTGGCTGCAGATCAGGCAGGACTTGGTTTAGAGCCAGGGCTGAGAAAGGCCTTGTGATTCGCCATAAGAGATGGTTAATGTTCTGGTTGCATATACTACTGAGGGCGCTAGGGACGTGAAGGTGAATGGCCTGCCCTCCGCAAGCTCAGCCTCCAGTGCCATCCGTCTGCCCGTGTACGTGGGTGCTCACTCTGAGCTGAGCGGCAGGTCCCCAGCTCCCAGGGTGACCCAGGCAGGTTTCTGCAGGCACACCCGTGTGGCGTGCACTGTGGGGTTTCCCTGTGTGTGCTCTACGGAACATCTTAGGATTCGGTGGACTTGGAGATGAGTTCGACACAAAAATAAGAGTAACAAGAATAACACCAGCAGCACACATGCAATGTGATGATGGAATAAGAGAATATAAAGTAATAGAAAGTATTGCTGGGACGTGGTTGGGCGACACTTCAAAAGCAAGTATTCTTCAGGCAACAGGAAGGCACCTGCCCTCTTGGTGCCTTCTCGCCCGAAAATTCTGTCGACTAGAAAAGTCTCCCATTTGTTTCTGCAGGAACAACTTACTTTCTCAGGCAACATGGCAGGAGGCGTCTCCCGTCACACTGGGCTGAGGAGGTGTGAGACGCAGCGCGTGGAGATGGGGCAGGGTATCGGTAGGTGTGAGATGCAGCGAGTGGAGATGGGGCAGGGTATCGGTAGGTGTGAGACGCAGGGCGTGGAGATGGGGCAGGGTATCGGTAGGTGTGAGACGCAGCGAGTGGAGATGGGGCAGGGTATCGGTAGGTGTGAGAAGCAGCGAGTGGAGATGGGGCAGGGTATCGGTAGGTGTGAGATGCAGCGCATGGAGATGGGGCGGGGTATCGGTAGGTGTGAGACGCAGCGAGTGGAGATGGGGCAGGGTATCGGTAGGTGTGAGATGCAGGGCGTGGAGATGGGACAGGGTATCGGTAGGTGTGAGACGCAGCGAGTGGAGATGGGGCAGGGTATCGGTAGGTGTGAGAAGCAGCGAGTGGAGATGGGGCAGGGTATCGGTAGGTGTGAGACGCAGGGCGTGGAGATGGGGCAGGGTATCGGTAGGTGTGAGATGCAGGGCGTGGAGATGGGGCAGGGTATCGGTAGGTGTGAGATGCAGGGCGTGGAGATGGGGCAGGGTATCGGTAGGTGTGAGATGCAGCGAGTGGAGATGGGGCAGGGTATCGGTAGGTGTGAGACGCAGCGAGTGGAGATGGGGCAGGGTATCGGTAGGTGTGAGACGCAGGGCGTGGAGATGGGACAGGGTATCGGTAGGTGTGAGACGCAGCGAGTGGAGATGGGGCAGGGTATCGGTAGGTGTGAGACGCAGCGAGTGGAGATGGGGCAGGGTATCGGTAGGTGTGAGATGCAGCGCGTGGAGATGGGGCAGGGTATCGGTAGGTGTGAGATGCAGGGCGTGGAGATGGGGCAGGGTATCGGTAGGTGTGAGATGCAGGGCGTGGAGATGGGGCAGGGTATCGGTAGGTGTGAGATGCAGGGCGTGGAGATGGGGCAGGGTATCGGTAGGTGTGAGATGCAGCGAGTGGAGATGGGGCAGGGTATCGGTAGGTGTGAGACGCAGCGAGTGGAGATGGGGCAGGGTATCGGTAGGTGTGAGATGCAGGGCGTGGAGATGGGACAGGGTATCGGTAGGTGTGAGACGCAGCGAGTGGAGATGGGGCAGGGTATCGGTAGGTGTGAGACGCAGCGAGTGGAGATGGGGCAGGGTATCGGTAGGTGTGAGATGCAGGGCGTGGAGATGGGACAGGGTATCGGTAGGTGTGAGACGCAGCGAGTGGAGATGGGGCAGGGTATCGGTAGGTGTGAGAAGCAGCGAGTGGAGATGGGGCAGGGTATCGGTAGGTGTGAGATGCAGCGCGTGGAGTTGGGGCGGGGTATCGGTAGGTGTGAGACGCAGCGAGTGGAGATGGGGCAGGGTATCGGTAGGTGTGAGATGCAGGGCGTGGAGATGGGGCAGGGTATCGGTAGGTGTGAGACGCAGCGAGTGGAGATGGGGCAGGGTATCGGTAGGTGTGAGACGCAGGGCGTGGAGATGGGGCAGGGTATCGGTAGGTGTGAGATGCAGCGAGTGGAGATGGGGCAGGGTATCGGTAGGTGTGAGACGCAGCGAGTGGAGATGGGGCAGGGTATCGGTAGGTGTGAGACGCAGCGAGTGGAGATGGGGCAGGGTATCGGTAGGTGTGAGACGCAGCGAGTGGAGATGGGGCGGGGTATCGGTAGGTGTGAGACGCAGCGCGTGGAGATGGGGCGGGGTATCGGTAGTGTGAGATGCAGCGCGTGGAGATGGGGCGGGGTATCGGTAGGTGTGAGATGCAGCGCATGGAGATGGGGCGGGGTATCGGTAGGTGTGAGACGCAGGGCGTGGAGATGGGGCAGGGTATCGGTAGGTGTGAGACGCAGGGCGTGGAGATGGGGCGGGGTATCGGTAGGTGTGAGACGCAGCGCGTGGAGATGGGGCAGGGTGTTGGTAGGTGTGAGATGCAGCGAGTGGAGATGGGGCGGGGTATCGGTAAGTGTGAGATGCAGCGCGTGGAGATGGGGCAGGGTATCGGTAGGTGTGAGATGCAGCGCGTGGAGATGGGGCGGGGTGTCGGTAGGTGTGAGATGCAGCGCGTGGAGATGGAGCAGGGTATGGGTTTGCCTTCGGGGAAGGAACGGGATGGAGAGGTGATGCCCCAGGTCGAGTGCGTGGGCTGACGTGGGGTCGTCCCACTACCTGCAGCTTCGGTTCCAGCCCTCCTGCCCTTCAGTGAGTCACCCTCTCATAAGGCAGAGGACTGTACGCACGTGTGCACACCGATGGACACAGACGACAGTTTGGGGGAGCGGGGGGGGTGCAAGCGGGGAAGAGGAGGTCAATGGGAAGAAAGGGGGCACATCTGTAATACTTTCAACAATAAAGATTTTAAAAAATCATCCTTTCATAACTTCTAAAACGGTATATCTGCCTGTTAAAATCTTACTCTCTCCACAGAGTTCGTGCACATATCGAATAACATTATGTTTTCATTTTGTTGGCGCGTAAGCACTTCCTGAACTCTGCACATTCTGTTGTTTGGCTACTTTCCTTTCTGCCGAAGGAAGCGTTTGGAAAGTCGAAGGAAATGGCCACTTCAAAAAGCCGCTTCCCACACAACTGGGCTGTGAAACTGTCCGTGGATTCGAAGGGGTTTCAGATTGTAACTTGAGCTGAATTCAAGTAAAAGAGGGAACCGCTTGGAGTGCTTGTAACAGTTGAACTTAAAACTGGTCTTAAAAACTCCTTTGGTTCTGAATCACTGGAGGTGAAAACAAATGTACAGCAATTTACAATATAATTATTAGCAGGTCATTAATGTGTCACACTGATGGAAATAACACCCAGACATGTCGGGCCATTCTCCAGTCCCTGTGATCTGACCCGTCAGAGGCTGGAAACAATGTCAAATCCTGTTGCCATTTTCCGGTACCCCAGATGTCTTATGAATCCCCTGAGACTGTCATAACGAGGAGTCTGCCTGGGCCCCGGAGGCTGTGTCTGGGCCCTGTCCTTCTCAGAGTGCTTCCGTCACAAATGGAGACTGTCTGGAGTTTTCCCATTGAGCACAGATCCCGTCTCCCGTGTGACAAATGTGCGTCGTAGCTCTGATCCGCGATCATTACGCCAGAGCTTCTAACCACTTCAGCCCACTGTTCCAATCAAGCTTTTTGTGATAAGAGGGTTTTAAACCATCTTGACAGATGCTTATAATTACCAAAGGGATACGGAGTACTCAGCACCCTCCAAGGGATGTCAGTATCTGATAGAATCTTCTTTTCATGAGAGTGTATCAGCTGGCAGATTGCCATTCTTATGTACGGGAAATGCATGTTAGATACATAAAACCACCCAAAACGAGCACTTGACTATGTCAACTGTGGTAGTAATCAAGCCCCCTTCTCTCCAGAGTGTTTGACTATCTCATTTAGTACACTTCTAGAGGACGTAATGACATTTTCCACATGAGCAGGGCAACGTCTTGCATTTCTATCCTTTCTTATCCAATTCCAGAGTTTCCGAAGTTTGGTCCCAGGACAGCGAGGCCGTCTGCGCTCCTCGGCCCCGTGGCCGGCCTGTCGACTCCAGTGGCCAGCGAAAGAGGCTGGAAGGGACGGTAGGACAAAGCAAGCACACGTACAACCTGTCACTTAAAGGCTTGAGGAATAAATGCACCCTGGAAACCAATGTCACTTGTATGGCTCAGACTCCTGGGCATTTCCCGTAGCAGTCCTGAAACATGTATGTGTGACTGCAAAGCACGGGGGGGTTCGGCCAGCATGTGCCACTGGCTTCTCGGTCAGTCCGAGCGAGCCAGGGACGCGGTCCGCAGCCCCGCAGCCCCGCTCAGCGCCTGGCCGCGCGCAGTTCAGGTTCAGTGTTGGGTGTGGGTCCGCTTTCCTCCGCCTGCATTTCAGAGCGCGGGGTCCGGGGGTCTCCGAGCCCACCTTCCGGTTCTCCGCCGGCATTCAGACAGCAGACACGAAACCCGAGCTGTGGTGCAGGGCAATGCGATGTCTGTGTTTTGTGGAATCTGACTTACTAATTTGTTGCTTTGTTTTGACTTTCCAAGGCAATATTTTCTGTATCTTCTACTACAGATCTCATTTGTATGTAGAAATCTGTTGTAGGGGGTGGAGTAAAATGTTGATCTAAAAAGTAAAAATAGCCCTGGCTGGTTTGGCTCAGAGGTTAGAGCGTTGGCCCAGGGACCAAAGAGTCTCGGGTTCGATTCCGGTCAAGCGCATGTACCTTGGTTGTGGTTCATTCCCGGCCCTGGTCAGGGTGGTGTGGGAGACAACCAGTTGATGTGTCTCTCTCACGTCGGTGTTTCTCTCTCTCTTTACCCCTCCCTCCCACTCTATCTGAAAATAAATGGAAAAATATCCTCAGGAGAGGATTAAAGAAAAAAAAAGTAGAAATATAATGATTCTGTATATACATACATTATATGCATATATTACATGTGTGCATGTTAAATATGATATGCATATGTATAAACATATGTGTATATCACATGCACACATATTGCAGAAATTGTTACCCAGGTTTAAGTAATAAAAACATGTTTTAAATTGCTTGCTCAACTAAATTTTCAATAAAATAATTACAAATAGTGAACTAGTGAGAGAAAGATGAGTATAAGTCCTTTTTTTTTTTGTAATCATCTTTTCAACCTGGTGCTTTCACACTCAAAAATCAGTGTTAAAATACTAAGGTCCAGTCCACGTGGCTGCAGGGGCAGTTCAGTCCTATGAGGGAAGGGGCCCCTCACGCGGACTCTGGTCTTTGTGTGTCTCCCAGGGAACGCACTTGGTTACTCCAGAGAGCCGCAGCACAGCCATAAACCCCTATGGCTGTTGTGCTCCCCAATATCTGGGAAAAGGCGAATCAAAGCCAAAGGAACTGGTGTTCCTGAGATGCTGATGGTGTTTGTGAAGGACACAGACATGCTGTTGTTCTGAGTCGTGTGTAGGCAGTTATCCGGTGTCAGGGCTGCTGGAGGACGGAGGTCTCTTCATGGAGGGCAGCTTGTATCCTGGGAGAACAATGAACTGGGGAAAGTCAGAAACGTGATGGCAGTGGGCCAGCCCGTCCCTGACTTGTGGTGGTGGATGCACCTGTGGATTATTGGTCAGCGTCTGCTCTCCTCCTTCAGCTCTATGGAATATTCCATGCGCTTCTCTTTCTACACAGACACATTATTTTAAGGTTTTATTTATTTATTTAATCTGTATTGTTGTATTACCGATGTTCCCCCTTTTTTCCCCACTGATCCCCTCCTCCCCACTCCCACACCCGTCCTGCCTTCCCTACACTATGGTCTGTGTCCATTGGTTATGCACAGACACATTTAAAAAATACCAGTGTGCACTTTTAACTCCTTAATTTTCTGGGTGGAACACACTGTGGTCTTTCTTGTTGGCTTGCTCTGGGCACATCAGCAGACCACTTCCTTAAAACCGTAAAGAAACCTGCTATTTGGTATCTAGAGGGCCAGACACTGCGGAGATGAGTATTCAAAACGCGATGTCACTGACAGGTCTTGTCTGTTACTATGTTGTCCTCCCTGCTAAGCACCCTTTTCCCTTTGCTTCTGAGCCCCAAGACTCTGCTAAGCCATTAGTTTCATTTATAGGATTAAACTCCTCCTGTGCTACTCAAACTCCCGGCCATCAGGGCTGCCCTCTAACTGACAGACAAGTGCCCTGTGACCGTGCTGCTGGGAGGGACGTGGACAGAATGACGCTGTGCAATCGTGTGCCTCCGTGTGACTTGGCAGCAGAGGCTGCAGCCACAGACCTGGAAGGTGTGTGAGCATCGCCCTCATTTCTCCGCTCAGCATGGTGCTCGGACAAGCAGCGCTTCCTCGTAGGAGCTGTTCAGGGGATGGGTGCAGACTGCAGGCCCGCCAGTCAGAGTCAGGGCTACTTCGTCCTCCTGTTTAGGGATAAACAGAGTTAAAAATGAGATGCCTAGTGATGAGCACATAGCTATAAAGGTAAATGATTTGGACAGAGAGTGGAAGGTGACACAGTGATGACGAGGAGATTTAGTAACTGGACTAAACACCTCATTTTACCATTTACCATCATTTCCCTTTGTCCTGCTCTTAAGGGAGCTGGAGAACAACTGGTCAACACCACCTGTTTAAGAATCCATTATATTTTTTAGCACCATTAGTAAATGTCCCAAAGCCTTCTCAGTCTTAGAAAAAGAACAGGTCCTTTAATATTTCCAAAGAGGTGTATCAAGCCACCAGCACAGAAATTCAGAATGTTTTCTGAGGATGGTTTGTATCTTATACTCAAACCAGGAACAGAAACTTTATCAACTGAATGGTACGTGGTGTGTGTGTGTGTGGGGGTTACTGTCTGGATAGAAGTAGAAATGACAAAGACAGGGATTCCAGCTCTGCCCTTAGGCTGGTAGAAAACTACGAAAACCCAATCCATTGGGCCTCATCCAAAGAAGAGGAATCCTGGTCGACCCAGGTTTGCACCCAGGCTTTGGGGGATGGTTGTGAAAGACTCTTGCGATCCAGAGCCACAAAGGGTGGATAATTGTCTCCCAGCAGCTGTGTTTGGGGCTCCATATGTTTCTATGCCATTAATACCACTCAGCCATGAACATGACCTGGCGACTCTTATCTGCTGCTGCTTCTATAACCCACGGAACAACCATTTTTTCATTTGTTACTAGTAAAATCCCCAAAGTGTTAATGATCGACCAATAAACTTTTATAGACCATTGACCAGATTATACTATGCTATTATCCTTCAGTCAGATGTTCATCTGGGTCCA